CATCTTCCGTAGGCTACAGCCCCTCGGTTCGACCTTCCAGCTTGGCACGGGACAGCGTGCTCCGACCAAGGTAGATCTACTGATTTCACCAAGAAAAGTGATCGGGGCCTGAGCTATCCCTACGTGTCCCTCAGTTCTGGTACTAAGACAACCTTTCCTTGTGTCCACCTGCAGATTTGCACAGCATTTGCAGGAATTACATATGTTGGATAATTTATTTTCTGAGAAAACAAATCAGAAGATTAGATTTAGCTTGATCAATAGACTAAAAATTTAAAAAGGTTAGACTGACGCACAGACATAAGCAGAATTTTCTTAAGAAACCAAAAACTATTAAGACGCATGTATAAATTTAGCAGTTTCCTTTAATTACGGTGCTGCTGACTTGGTGGAATAAACTGTAGACGTGAAGGAAGATGCTGGATTGTTTCTGCTTAGCACTAGAATACAAAATTAAGTTTTACAAATTCTCACTATTTTACTGACTTTATGTCTGTATGTGTTTATTATGTATCAAACAGGCTATGGCTTCATACAACTGTAAAAAGTGGAAGACTATCTTGTAAAATTGGGGAAATATTCTACAATTATTATCTATGGGAACATGACTGAGAAAAATTTTTACTGGTCTCTTTTAGAACAGTAAATTTTATGTAGCTAAAAATGTAAAAGTATGTTTATCATTTTATTGTATATGCATTACACAAAGAAATAGTTGTATCAAAGTGTACAGCAAGTAGCTACTGATCTAATGCACATAGTTTGATCTAAACTTTATCTTAGAGTCAAATATTACGTTTGTGAATCATTTATGTGCTGCAGGGAGTTCCTCTCCTTGGTGAAGGAGAAATTCATCATGAAGAGGAAGAAAAAACAGGCAATGATTTCTGCTCCATCTATTATATCACAGAAGTATAGAATAAGTTGGAGGATGACTTGATGACTTTGTTGAACATTTAGTGCCTGAGTTACAAATCAGACATTGGAAATGAGCAGTAGCAATGCCAGAGATAGGATGTTAACATTGGAGGGGTGGAGGAAGGGGGGCAGGACTAAGACTGAGGGTAATCTGTTCTGGAATCTATAGCTACTAGAGCTACTGTGTAATTAATCCAAAGTCAAATGAAAAAGTACAGGTTTTTTCTAAATTAGAGTCCATTGTGGCTCTTACATTTTCCATTTTTCTGAAGAAAATTACACCTGTAGAACATGAAAGCAATCTGGAGTAGGAGAAAACAAAAGGGGGGGCATATGTTGATTCTTATAAAATAATTCCTGGTATAGTATTTTTTGCCAAGAATGTCTGACACCATGTGAGTAGTGAAAATGGACTCTGCAACATTTTCTTTCATTTGGGCATTTTGCCCTGTAGCATCTGTCCAAACCCATGCATGAAGCACCTTGTCTAGTACGTTGTGCACATTATTGCAGCAGCTTTGTAACTTCACTGTGGCATAGAGGAACCTGCTTCCTGACTAGCTTTGCATTTTACCTCCTTTCTGCTCCTAGAAGCATGTGATTTTTTTTTTTTTTGGGGGGGGGGGGGGTGGTGGGGGTGGGGGTGGGGGGTGTTTCCCCCTTGTTTATCGCTCTTTCACCAGGAACACGGGATTTCTGGGAGCGGGTCTGCCCACCCTCAGTGGAATAGGCAGATGGTTGCCAAATGCTGTCCTGCAGGCTGGCAGTTACAGGATTTACCCTTAGAGGGGTGCCTGGGATAGTGCTGTGGCACCAAACCATGCCTCTAGCACATAAACTGCAAAGTTCAGACGGTCTTTTGCAGTCAGCATTTCCTTTTCTCTAGCTCGAGGTTGCCTCTAACACATTTTCAGAGGTGTGTGTTCTTGGGACGCGCTCGCTGGGCATTGCCTTTCCCGAGCACCCCGCTCTCTCAGGTAACTGTATGGAAAGGGGAGAAATACAGTATCAGTGCCCCGAAGCACTCCTGCCGTGCATAGTTCCTAATTATCTGCCATGACAGCTGCTTCCCTGAAGGTGTGGAGCAGACCCTAGGTATCAATTTCAGCATTTGTTGATGTTACATAGTGGCCAGATGGTTATTTTTCTGTATCTGTGGTTAAACACAAATTTACTAAACTGAGGATTTTTTTTTTTTTTTTTTTAATCAAAGCGCTCCTAACACAGATACTGGAGCAGGCTAACCATTGCAGAACATCTCCATTTGTCAGTAAGCTTTTGCAACCACCAAAGTATCCCTGCCTATTGTTTCTGGAGATATTGTGAAAGCAGACAGTCAGCATTGCATGAGCCAGAAAAAGAACCAGCTATTAAATTGAATTCCAGTTTTACCTTAACAACAGAGTTATTTTATCCCATTTTTCCCAAATTCTAATCAATTTTAAAGAGGGAGGAATGGAGTCCTTAAAGTTCAGTGGGAGGAATTTTTATATTTTTTCATACCTACCACTTTGCAATAGCAGGGCCTAGCTCATGTAGTCAAAGAAACATTGTAAATTCTGAGAGGCACTTTTCAAATACGGAAAGTTTCCTCTGTTGTCATCATCCTCATCATCTTCATCCCCATTGTGCTGGAATATAATGATGTGGTAAATGGTGAGATGTAGTTGCATAACTCTGAAAGTTGGCATGTATTCCTTCAAAAGGAACAAGAAAAAATAATTCCCCTGAACAAAATATTCAGGCTTTACAATGCCTTGTTCTGTCACAGAAGCAAATTTTCTCCCTTTTTTTTTTTTTTTTTTTTTTCCCTGTAGACTATAATCAGAAGGTATTCCAAATGAGAGTATTGTTAGACAGGACCAGCATTTTTCAGGCAGATGTCCATTCTCACTGGCACAACAGTAACGAGCATTCGAATAATTAGCTGGTTTGTGAGTGCTCAGAGTCCAAAGAAAGGGAGAAGCAAAAAGCTAAACTCAAGATTACAATAATTGACAAAATCTCTTTTCCCTTTTTAGGTACATGGAGAATCTTGCTTCATTTAGGTTATTTAGAGCAGAACTGAAATTCAACTCTTTAGATGTCTTGGGTTTCTTAACATTTTCTTACAAACCGTCTTTTTTCTCATTTTTGAGGGCAACTTTTTAAAATGTACATGTCTTGGACACTGAGTATTTAGTGCTCATTTGAAGGCTTCCTTCTGTTTTTTGGAGAGTTCCCTCCCTGTCTCTGACACTTAGTGAAAAAATAAGGACTTGGAAGTCTTCTCTGATCTGTCAGTTTGGAAGGCATACTGCAGCATTAAAATGTTAATGGGATAGCTTTATATTCAGTAGGACGACATAACTAAAAGGGTCCATGGAGCCTACATACAAGAGCTGTGGAGTAATTTGAGGAATTTATGTTCGATTATTTGTTGTGCCAAAGTCTCCTAGTAATACTTTGTCTTCTGGGCATATGGTGCCTTCTTTCTAGCTGAACAGATCATCAGCCAATCAAAGGTTTGTGTTGGTTTTTGTTTGGTTGTTTTTTTTTTTTTTTTCAGATCAAACCATGATAGGATTTGGAGAATTTCACTCAATTCAATGACTTCCTATTAGTGAGAGATTCTAATCTAGGATCTAAGGGCCTTGGGGAATGCAAGTTTTGTTTCACTTGCTAAAGTAAGAAAGTAAAAAAAAGAGAAAACAAATAAGAAAATTATAATGTACAGTCTCCTTTTACTGTAGTCCACATGGAAACTGAGGGGCTGCCCTCATCCATATTTATACCAAAAATGGTTCCCATGTTCAGCAGACCACCTTGCTACTAATCTCCTTGCATTTTTTTTCCAAACCTCATTCTTGCCTAAGATGAAAGTACATTCCATTTACTAGACGCGTGTTGTGAGCTTTTATTTTTTGCTTTTTTTTTTGATAGAACTATGGGATTTAGTAAGTCAGCAAGACTTTTTGTACATTTGGGGATCAGGGTGAAGGAAATGCTATTTCCACTTGGTGCTATTTCAGTGGATTAGGCAGTGCATCAAAACATACGTATTAGCTTGAGTGATAATACCTCAAGGTCTCATAGCTCTGCTGGGACTATGATAGCTTCCTTGATGCCACCTGAGATTCTTGCACATATTTTTCCATCATAGCACTCTTAACGTAAATGTCTGATACTCTATGTGATAGGAATTCTGCAATCATCTTGTAATTGATTCATTATCTAAATGGCACTAATGGAAAGGAAATGAAGGGTCCACTTCAAAAAAGAAAAAAAGCTCAAGTACAGTACCATACCAACAGTGGTTCGGAAGTGTGCTGTATTTGTGTAAAGTCCCCTTCCAAGTCCAGCCTTCAGTAGGTCCTTGGGGTTAGTGAAATAAGTGAAAATAGTTGCTCTGATGGCCCACTTATAGCTACGGCACTGCAGGAAATTACTCAGGGAAGTCTGTCGGTCACTGTGTCTCGGAAGATTCCCAATGCTCCTTTGAAACACAACACATCCTCCAGTGGGAATATTCAGATGGATCGTTCAAAAAACCACAGCAAACAGTTTATAACTCCAGCCAGTGTACATAATATTTCAACGCATATTTTTTATATCCTTCGCATCTATCATTTTGCCAGTTTTAATTTAATTAGTGTAAGTGCTCTTTTTTATTTAGAAAGACGTATTTTTTTTTATGTTTAGCACTATAACTAATGTCTTCAAATATCACGTGTTCAAAACCTTCCCTTGACTATTTTGAAAATTCCCAACATACAGTGTTTAAAAAAATTTGGCCAGAAAGTCAAGTTCTCCTATCTAGGTGTCATGGTTTGAGCCCAAGGGGCAACTGAGCACCATGCAGCTTCTCACTCCCCCCTTCACCCCCAGCGTTGGAAAGGAGAAAATAAAGCAAAAGGCTTGGCTACCGAGACAAGGACAAGGAGGGGTGACTTACACATTACGGTCACAGGCAAAACCCAGACACGTTAGGGGAAGGAAAAAGAACATAAATTTAATTCAGACGCTAACAACAACTTTTAACAGACAGAGTAGGACAGTAAGAAGCATTACCACATCTTGAAAACACCTTCTCCTATCCCCCCCTTCTTCCCAGGCTCAGCTTTGCTCTGGATCTCTCTACCTTCTCCCCTGCAGTGGCGCAGGGGGCAGGGGATGGGGGGTGCGGTCGGTCCTGCCACTTCTCCTCGCGGCTGGGGGGGACTCCTCACATTCTCCCCTGCTCCAGCATGATGTCCCTCTCACAGGAGACAGTTCACCACGAACTTTCTCTGACATGAGTCCTTCCCACGGGTTGCAGCGTTTCCCAGGCTGCTCTGGTGTGGTTCCTTCCTGCGTCCTCCCAGCACTGAACTACAACAGCGGGAGCTTCCCACAGTGACCCGGCCTTCTTTGGGTGCAGCCGCCTGCTCTGGCGTGGGCTCCTCCACTGGCCGCAGGTCGGCCTCTATATATAGACATATAGACATAAAGACATTTCTTATCCTATTGTTTTCCACGCATTATTCATTTTATTGTGGTTGAAAACTTCAACTTACATATCACAAAATACCGTTGCTGCTACGTTCTTCTAGCACTTAGTTTCCAAAACACCTGCAGTTTCACTGGTGATAGAGGGTAATTAATTTGCTCATGCAGTTTCTTTCCCTCTTTTGATAGTGTTAAGTCTCCATCTGCAACCAGATGTCTTTCTGCCTGACTGAGATGTTCCTGTGGTCTTTGAAGACTAACTTACGTATTAGAGGTGAGCTGTTACATGTTACTAAAACAAAACAGCAAAACTTGTTGATGAATATTAAACTGATACAAAATTCTGAGTACCCAAGTGAAGTGGGTTTTATATTTAGGAGAAAGAAAATTAGGCAGCAATATGATGTTTGAACTTGGCCATCTTCCTTGCATATCCCATCATAGAACTGGAGCATCCTTTCAAGTAAAAAATGTTAAGACTATATTTAATTGGATGCATTTTCCTTTTTAGGAAACTGTGCCCTACTTGACTGTAAGCTTCAATTTAATGACTAGTTTGGGTGACTGAAGATCTATAGTCAAGTGATTTGCAGAGGCACTGTGATTTGTACTTAGCATGAAAATAAAAAATTACTGCATGTTCTGGGTGTTTTGCATGATTACTTGATATTTTATACTTACAAGGATATATTTATCTTATTAACTGATTGTGCCAGGAGACACATGACTAATTACTAACTATGTAGAAATTACCTTCATTCATCTTGCCTTGCTATTGCTAAAATAATAATACTAAAACACCCCCGCTGGTTTATAAGTGGACCATATCAAAATATTATTTATGATACTTTATGCCAATTTTAGTGTACAATATTTTTCTTGACATTTTATTTTGGATATTATTGTCAATTCAGTTGAATATGAACAAATACGCAGTTGAACGTTATTATTCAAATATTGACTCAGTATATCTTGGCATCCCATCTTCATGTGAGAACTGTTCTGTAATAACAATAATATAAAAAAGCCAAAAGCTGTATTTCATAGGAAAGTCTGATGGTTTAAGTAAACACATAGTTTACTGTAATTGAAGATGTATGTGGCCTACTGTGCCTATTATCTGCCTTTGACCTTCTTGCTTCCTCTCTGTCCATTTATTCATTGCCTACATGCCTCATTCTAAAATTCTGAGGCAGAAGGGAGGACTGCTGTCTTGTTTTAAAAGCTGCCTGTCATTGCAGTGCCTTCCTACATTGCCCCATGTAAGGAATTTCTCCCCATGATATATCCCTGTCTAAGTTTAGAAGGAGACGGATGTGGTGTCAAATTATTTTAAAACAATACAACTTAAAGAAAGCCATGCTTAGATCTACTTATTGGAGCTTGCCATGGCCCACCTAAGTACCTACCAGTCAGCCACATCAGGAACTGGTGGTGTGCCTAGCAGTCCCAGTGTATACCTGAAACACCCAAATTTCTTTGCCATGAGAACAAGGTAGACGATAGGATCTATAGCTTAAGAATATTGGATCCATTGCACCGGCAGCTTTAGGAGTTCATGAATCTTAAAAAAATCCTGTGGTCTTTAGCTCAGCCGTGTCAGTCATCAGAAAACATTTTAAGTTATTCTAAGGTACACTTTTCAACATGATCCTTACCTTTCCTTGTGAAAGAACACGAGAGATGCTAATTAGGAAGGCGGTAAAAACACTTTTGCGTGTTGGCAGCTTGAAGAGCACTGAAGTGTACGTAAAGGGAATGACAGCTCCAAATAAATGTAAGGACCTGTCACGTTCTTCTTCAGCCCCTTGCTGGTTCTTGAAAGTCCTACTTGTATTCAGACTATATGCTGTATCTTTTCTACTGTTGCTTGTATTCTAACACCTAATGGTGTGCTACAGGTAGCAAAAATTTAGATGCTGAACTTTGGTTGCTAAATTGCGTTTTGTTTCCAGTGTCACATCCATAATTAAATATATTTACATTCAATTGTACAGATGAAGATATTGGGATCCACCAGTACTGTGACAAGAAAGAATCAGGTAAAATATAAATAACCATAACTAAAACTAACCACAGCTTCTGAATGTTCAGTCTTTAACACTGTCTACTCGCTCTGAAAAATGCAACTTCGAATTTCTTGTTAATATATATGCCTCTGTATTTCTGTGGAGAAAAGAAGCACCGAAAGAAAATCTCTCTCCCAAGTAATGTCACAGTAATTAAAATCGGTTTATTCCACAGAATTAAAAAAAAAAAAAAAAAAAAAAAAAAAAAAAAAAAAAAACCAGAAAAAACAAACCGGACAAGTATTTCCATAAAACCAACCTTTGTGTCACTGGAAACCCCGGTGGGATTCTACGCGCCGAGTTACTGCGTTTTATGTTCTATTTAACGCCGCGCTCAGCCCCCTCAGCGGCCGCCGGGCGCCCGGCCGCTGTGAGGGCCGGGCCGGGCCGGGCCGCCGCCATGGCCGCGGCTCCCGGCAGGGGGCGGCGGGAGCGCGCGGGAGCGCCGGCCGCGCCGCCTCCGACGGCCATTTCGGAGGGCGCGATCAATTTTCTTTATCTGATTAATCCTGTTAATCCTAGAAGTTTCACGACGGGCCGAGAGGTCTGGGCGTCTAGAGTTACTTCCTCTCTGCGGCCGGGCCGGAGCGGCGGCTTGCGCGGGCAGCCGGCGGGCTGAGGGCGGCTGCTGACAGGCCGGCGCGGCTCCCCTCCCCTCGCTGCCAGCGGTTGCCGCTCGCTTCAACTGGTGAGACTGGAGGCTCGGCCCACCTGTTGGGCTGCATAAGCCTTTCTTTCACTGCAAATTTAAGATACTTGCCGTGCGAGGTGAAAACATTGGGGCTGTCTTGATTTTGTGCAAATTTCTGCCTTTTATCAAACTGCATGAATCTTCGAATATTAATACTTGCTGACAGCAGTTGTGAGGATTATCATTCATCTTTTCATCCTTTCTTTCCTTTAGCATCACAGATGAAGTACAGTTACTTAGAAGAGAAGCAAAAGGTAGCAGAATGTAAGGGCGTTTTCTGAGTTTCTTGTTACAGCAAAACCAAATTATTAATTTGGATTGGTGATGCCCCTGGGAAAGCATTGAAATGGCCTCAGACTTGCAATGTAACTGTCTGCACATGCCATCTAAGACAGATGGCCACAAAACTACACAGCACAAAACAATTGAAAAGTTGTAATTATTCCTTCCTGGTATATTTGCAGTAATTTTTTTTTCCTGTGTCACTGAGCAATGTAGTGTGTTACACTTCTCAAATCCATTGTCAAGAGAGAATCACAAAAATATTCACAACCCAGATTTGTCCTTATGAAATTTGCTCAGCAGATGAGTAACAAACATCTTCCCAATCAGCTTTTGAATTGAAATAACAACTGCCTCAAAACTGAATATAACTAAAATACTTTCAGCCAAAATCAAATTCCAGCTTAATAATCGTCTGCGTTCATAAAACACTTTTAGATTTGAAACATTTACATTGTTCCTGTATTATCTGGTTAAAAGGAATTTCAGTTCATGCTATCACACAGCAGTACTGTGACAGTTAAAGATTTTTATATTTATACAACTTTTATTTAGCTCAAGTTTTACAACTGCAAAGTGACTGCTCAGAGCATTCATTAATGTTCAGACATTATGACGTGACAACTCTGAAAAATAATTGATTTTTAGACAACTTCACAAAGTAATAAGTATGCTGTAAGAATTGCCTTAACATCTTATCATAATGAAAATTGATAAGGAATTGTGTGATTGAAGGCAGAATGTGTTCTGGAAGGATAAGTTATTTGCAACACCGTAAGGTGTGTTTGGAGCAGGTTGAAGCCCCACTGGGGATGGGTATAAAGGTGCACGCAGACGTGGTAAATCTACACCTGCTGTAGAGGGTTGTGTGTCAGTCACCATCAATACAGCTCTGTAAAGGTGGGGAGGTGAGAAAGGGCTCTAAGTAGGGAGGAGCACAATGGATTTACATCCCTTGTGCTCAGCGTAGCATTATCTCACAGGTGCTGCCTCTATGAAATGAGAAGCAGGCCCAAATAAACCCCATTATACAGAAGCCCCAGCTGTTATCTTTTGTACGTGTGACATGCAAAAGGAACACAAGCTGCTGCACCTTGTTGCTGTAAATACAGGGGTGGCCTAGTCACAAAGCACTGCATGGCATATTTCTTAAAGAGGAGCACTGGGTAACTTTATTCACAGCTGCTGATTTGTATATAGAGTTTATTATCTGTACCGGCAATTTCCCATTTTGCATATGTGGATAAATATTCCAGTATTTATGAAGGCACCCATTGAAAATGTGATCTTACATGCCTAATTAATATTATCATAACAGTTCCACCAACACTGGCTTCAGTCCAATAAAATACAAAGAGAAGTTGTATGTTGGTGTGCTCTTTTGTTGATATATGAAATCTTTCATTTTTTCACTCTATAGCATTTCTATTGTAAGCTTCTTTTTGCAAGGAGGTTTAAACATAACTGTTAAGTCATTCGGTCTGGAAGCTGGTATACAAACTGACAGCTTGGAGCTCCAAACTTTTCATCAGGCTTCCTTTAAATAGGCTAGATTTTAAAAAGACAATGTGTTCTAGTTTCTCATGGTTTTTATTGTATACTTATGAACAGAAAACGGCTCACTTTTAAATGATGAAATTTCACAAGTTATTAGAGCCTGATTCTCAGCCATGAAACAAGCCAATTACTAGCAGCTCCAGAGGATGCTTTGCCTCCTGGTTTCAGGATTAACATATTAGGCCAGAATTTTAACAATAGTTTGTTGAACATTAATAAATTTGCTGAAGGACTGTAGCGGTTGTACAGTTTCTTGTTAGCTTGACTTGGCAGATTTTTCAGACCAAATTTTCAAGAACAAATTCTATAAATAACTATACTCCATAACATAAGTTATGGTGTTCACAATTACCTGTTGCTAATACCTATATATATATGCATATATTCATGCATATGTATTTTGCAGACCTGTTAGTGCATGCTTTTTGAAATTAGGCAATGAAATGCTAGTTCAAAGGAATAGTACCTGTTTAGGATTTGATAACTTGAATCTGAGTTAACATACTGAATGTGAGATGCTTTCTCATCACAAGTGCTTAGCAGTTGGGTAAGATACTACATCCTGAGTGCTTTGTACACAATTACCATGGTGAAGTCATGGTGAGTGTGGGTATTTCATGCTAACTGTTCCTATGGAAGAGCCTTTCAAAAGAATATTATTGGACAATACAAACCAATAGAAACCGTAGCCATTTCCTTCCAGTTATAGGTCAGCTTTCTGTTTAAGGTAACTCCTAGAAATCTTAGTTTTGTGTTTCCACGGAAAAGGAAGCTCAACTTGAAGAACTTATTTTTTAATTATATATAAATGTAGGTTTGTATGCACACATATATACACACACATACACATGTACAGTTGCCTATATATACACATTTCTCTTTTTTTTTTACTTTTATTTGCCAGCTCGAGATTATTCTTGGATACTGAAAAACAAGCGACCAGACAAATTGAGAGATACACTCAAGGAGGTAGAGGTATGTTTCAGAAAGTTTGAAGTCCAGCAACATATAATCCGGTTTTCAAACCTCTTTCATCAGCTTTAATTTTCATAAAGATCCAACTTTCCCAGTGATGATAAATGTGCTTTTGTCTGGCAAGCTGTTCTAAAACAGCTGCATCTTTGTGTGGCACGCTTCATCTATAAACTTGAAAATCAGAAGTATGTTAACTGATAGTGACAATGTGTACTGCTAACTCCGCTCTCTGTTTTCTGTTGTCCTTTAGGACTTAATGCAAAACAGTCAATGTATGCTGTGCAAATGGAAGAACAAACATATTTGTCAGGTAAAATGTTTTGACAAGCTCTTGTAATGTTCAGTCAGTGAAGCCAAGCAACCATTCAGTGATTGATGCAATAGTGTTAAAATGTTAACTAACTAAGAAAATAGTTTTGTTTTGTTTTGTTTTGTTTTTAATTTGTGGGTTCTTGTTACCTAGATTGTATTTATTTAAATTTGTAACCTGAAATAGATGGTGCAAAACAAAAATCTGGGTTTTATAAAATTATATTAAAGGGCCCTGATTCTGTGAGATTATTATTTGGGGAAACTGAAAGCATCCTGTAACTCAAAATAGCAGGCTAAGGGAACAGTTAAAATATATAGACAGGTCTGGAAACTATGTTACATTACATTTTTACAATTTAATTATTTACATGTCTGTTGCAAATTTTTTTACTTTGTGCTTGTGTAATATGGGAGGGAAGCTACAGCTCTAAACCAGCTAGATCATTAATCAAGTTATGGAATAAAAGATATTGTGGCATGTGGCACACGTAGCTATGTTTCTGTCTATGTAAGTTCCACATACTGTGTACAAGAAACAGCTTTTCACATCCTTGTTAACACAAAACAGTAGGAAAGGTGAGAAATCTGAACAGCATATGCTCTAGCTCCATAATCATGACCTTGTTCTGAAAAACACGTATTTTATAAGTTTCTGCAGTCTTCATTTTTCGTGAGGAATGTGCATCATATTTGAAGCTTCTTTGGCATGGGGAGTACTTGTAAATATTACTAATACTGTTTCGGAAAAGAAATTTTGTGTTCTAACTTTCATGGTTCTTCAGATTAATGATTTTTTTTCTTCTGATTCAGGAAGTTCCAAATGTGTATCAGCAGGATGAATACTGAATATTCAAACATTATAAGACTGAAATTCCATAAATGTCTTTAAGAATAGCAAAATTTTTAAATACCTGACATACCAAATAGTATATAGTCTTTTTGTATCAATAATAAACATATTATTGTCTAAGCTACATTTGCCTATCAGATCTTATCGCTAGTACATGTATATCATTCACATACAGATTACATAGTATAGATCTATGAATGATAATTTCTAGAACTGATTAACTATTAGTTGTATGCTGATTTAGAGGACTCTTTTTTTTTTTTTTTTTTTTTTTTTCCCCCTGTTATTATTGTTCTGATTAGGAGAGGAATTTGGTTAAGAAATACTGAGTCAATTAGCCAAATTAGCCATGAGTGTATTCATCTGCTTCCCAGTTTGCTGTCTCTTCATTTGCCTTCCCTGTCCATTCTCCCGCTATCATTTTCCTTCCCCTCCCATCAATCTGCATCCATTCACATTCCTAACCAGTACATACTTTGGAACAGTGAACTTCTTGCCAAAATTTGATCGTTCTGCCTTTATAATATAACACCTTTGGTTGACTATCAGTTCTTATAAAATTCTTATTTTTGACTTAGCATCCTTGAAGTAGTGTCAGGCTTACATGAACATAAAGAAGACAAATAGAATTTTATTTATTTCTTCTACAATATGGGAAGGAATACAGATGGATGTTTTTTATCAGATCTGGCCCTA